AATTTTTGTCAGTATTTCATTTCCTTTGCTTTCCTTAGTATCTAATTTGGAATCCGTAACATTTGACTACCATTTTCCTTGCTACAATTCTCTAGGGAACAGATAATTTCATCATACAAAAATCTTAGTAAGTTTAATTTAAATTTAAAAAACAGCTGCTTTTACCTATTATTGAAGAACTCTCTAATATTCCTTGAAAGTCCTTCACAAGCGTTTCTTGTTCAACATAGTCCAATTATACTAAAAATCTCTCCTTTATTTATATTCAGCCTTACCCTAAGATCCAGCAAAAGTTGATTTAAAAATAATGCTGAATTTGTTTACTAGTACTATCAAAAATTTGTTACCCATGATGGAGGGTGAATGACATTTCAATGATTTCACAGGGATGGGTAACAGGAAAGGAGATGCACATCTACAAATCAATGATGAATTCATTATAAGACCAAGTAAACTCTGTCTTTATTCCCTTAAAATTTTCATTCGCTACTCATTGTATGTCATTTGATAGCAAATGCCTCGTAGTCAGTCTATAACATCAAGACTCCTTGGTGCAAATAGAATATTGAAAACTTTTCTTTGTGGGAGAATATGAAAAGCAGCAGAAAGGAGGAAAAACACAGGAGAAATAAAAAGGGATGAACAGAACCTACAAGCTTGATTTCATCCTATACTTGCTAAATGGTTTCAATTTAATATCCTGATGATAGTGCTCTTCCCAAGGAATGCCTTTTCACTGATGATCAAAAAGAGCTCCAGCCATCCTTAAGTTAACAGCTCATCAAGTAACTGCTTCATTTGGGTAACTAATTTCATGAGTGATGTTCCCTGTTCCTAGAATATGCAGGTACGAGTATTAAATGCTGCTAGTGACTCACAGAGCTGGATTCCCATTGCCTCTATTTCCCTGACTTTGCTAAAACATTATCCCAAGACATCAATACTTTACAATAGAGCAACCACCATCAGCTGAATTATGGTCTGGTAAAGGAAGTCCTCTCCAGTGCACTAAACCTTGAATTCTATTAGAAATACTTCTTACCTCAAGATCATCCTAGAATCTGAATTCACTCACACACAGAATGAATGAAATGAGCAGCAACACAAATATGTTTCTAGACCAGGAAAAACTTACAGTTTAATGTTATAAATTACCCAGTCAACAATCACGTTGTGTATTTTCCATGACAAATGTATCACACCTCAGCACTTCAGGAATTAAATGATACAGTGTAATGTTATAAATTACCCAGTCAACAATCACGTCGTGTATTTTCCACGACAAATGTATCACACCTCAGCACTTCAGGAAGTTATTCCCTGCTGCAGACATAGGTAAGTAACTCAATGGTACTATGATAAACGAGTGATCTTTACATAAATCAAAGTCCAGATAGCCAAGTGATGAGACCTCAAGATGGCTAGAGCTTTGAGATGGCTTGGCCTGTACTCTTCCTTTAAGATGGGTACACTGAAGACAGCAAAAGGGATTTTAAACCCTTAAGTATTAATAAAGCATACTTAACAGTGAAACAGGTTAAAGCTAACAAAAAAACAAAACAACAACAAAAAAAAAAGACAGACTTGAAAAATCAATC